GTGAGATCCTTATGAGAGAAACATGATGTAAAGATTTTTCCCCCAATTAATTGTTCCCCTTTTAATATTAGCTTCATTGGATTTGTTTGTGTAAAACCTTTTTAATTTTATATAATTCAGATTGTCCATTTTCTCTTCCGTGACACCTGTGTCCTTTCTTTGGTTATGAACTTTCTTCTGTCCACAGACCTGATAGGCAATTTTCCCATGTTTCCCTGATTTGTTTATGATATGATCTTTCATATCTAGGTCATGTTTTCATTCAGAACTTATCTTGGTATAGGCTGAAAGATAATGTTCTAAATCTAATTTCTTCCTTACTGCTGTCCAATTTTGCTAATAGTCTATCACTTAATGAATCCTTATCCCAGGGTCTTTGTGTTTACTGAATATTAGGATTCTAGGTGTCCTTATTTCTGTATATTGCATACCTAATCTGACCCAGTGCGATCTCTCTACCTTTTAACCATTATCGAAATGTTTTGAGAATGATCGCTTTGTAGCATAGGGGTAAGGAATACAGCATACACTCAGAGAAGTAAATGCAAAGTAAGTACAAAGGAATTTCAAGAGAGAAAGAGCCTTAACGTGTGGATGCATCAGGAAAGTGCTTTAGTAGGATGTGCAGTTTCATTTGAAGGAATTCTACAAGGGAGAGAAAGACATGTGGTGAGTCAGGAAAGATGGTGAGCAGGTCAGTTCAACTGCAGCGGACAGTGTGTAAAGGGGAATGATATGATATAAATCTGGAAAGACAAGCAAGAGCTAGTTTGTGGAAGATTTTAAAGGCCACACTGATGATTCTTTGTTTTATCCTAGAGGCAATAGGGAGCCACAGAATACTTTGAGTAGAGGAGTAACATCATCAGATCTGAGCTTAAGGAATATTAGTTTAGAAGCCATGGGGAAGATGGTTTAGAGAAGAGAGACTGGAAACAGGAAAACCAGTTAGGGGGCTATTGTGGCAGTCCGTCTAGAGGTGATAAGGCCTTGCTTGAACCAGGGGAAAGAGAAAAGGGAATGGATGTGAAGAATGCTTGGAGAAGCAACAAGATGCCCCTTCTAGCCATCTCCCAAGCCCCCATTCCTGCCCCACTTTCTAACACTAGCAGTGGGAACAGTAATCAAATCAACATGTCCATTCCTGTCAATCAGTAGCCCTATGTAATATACGTTATCTTCCCCTTATTAGAATATAAGCTTCTTCGGGGCAGAGCATGTCTTGCTTGCCTTTTTTGGGGGGGGGAGATGCATCCTTATCCCTTAGCACAGTGCCTAGCACACTGTGGGCACTTGATAGATAATTATTCATCCAAGCCTTCACTTGGTAACTGATTTGCAGCAGGACTGAGGGAGAGGCAGGAGCCAAAATGAAGCCGAGTGATCTCAGGTACACTCCCAGTGCATCTCCAACCACACTACCTCGACTTCATTTCTTGGTCTCCTTACCAGGTCTCGCGAGGTAGTCTCTTCAGTGTCTTCACTCCCATCCCCACTGCCATAGCCAAGTGCTGCTTTAGACAGATCAGGCAGAGAAGACTAGGAAGGCCCCACCATATATTTTTGGATCCTGGTGAGGTGCCAGATCTCCAACTGCTGTTTCCACTAAAAAACCCTGAGTCACTTCTGGGTTTCCAAAGCATTACTGTCTTCAATTTGAAAAAGAAGAAGAAAGTGCTGAAAAGTAAAACTCTGTATTTTAGTGTAGGGAGAAGATTTTGATTATCTTTATCCTTGACACCATAAGCTAGGTCTATTTGGTCAAAATGTTGGGTTAAAGACTCACAGACTCAGACTATTTGAGCTGGAAGAGATTAAGAAATCAGATAGTCTAATGATGTCATGTCACAGATGAAGAAACAAGCCAGAGAAGTCAAGTGACTTGCAAAGTGCCAATCATTCACAATTTTTTCTGGGCTCCACATGGAAATCTTTGTCAAGACCTTTTTTCAAAAGGTATAATGATTTTTTTTTAAAAAAAAAAGCACCACTGTCATGTCTCAATGATTCCCCTCCCCCCTTTTCCCCAAATAGAACCCTCAGGAGTAATAACAAATTAATACAGTGGCCACACAGCCCTTTCTGAGAGCAGGTCAATTAGACAGCCTTGTCCCGGCAGCCGAAGACATTTGGGCACATGTCTTTCAGAAATGAAATGACATTATGCTACCGGAGGTAGGCTGTCCAGACGGCGAGGCTGGCCTGACATCAGGGGTGACATGTTTTTCATTGAGTTCTTGTACAGGCGTCTGCTCTCTAATCAGTTGATGACATGTCGTAAGATAAATCCCCCTTTGCTGCTCCCACACCACAGAAGGAAGGCGCGTCGCCAGGAATACAAAAGAGGAACTTGGACCTATGAAGGTCAGAATAAATGGAGACTTGTGGAAGAATTCTAAGGACAAAGATGCTAAGAGACAGGGAACTCATTGTTGGGACAGTCGTGGGAAGACAGGCATGCTCATTCATGGCTGGTGGAACTGGGAACTGCTTCATACCATTTGGGAAATTACTTGGAATTCTACACGAAATGTTACTCAACTGTTCATCTGAGCCAAAGATCTTCCTACTGGTACTGTACACCAAGGAGATTATTAAAAGCAAGAAGAGACCATATATGTAAAAAAAAAATGTTTACAGCTGAATTATTAAGGATGCCAGGAAGCTAGAAACAAAATATACAAAATACACGCCCACTGATTGGGGAATGGCTGAACAAATCATGATATGGCTATTACGACACCATAAAGAATGATAAATACTGGGGCAGCTAGGTGGGGCAATGGATAGAGCACCAGCCCTGAAGTCAGGAGGACCTGAGTTCAAATGTGACCTCAGACCAAACGCTTGACACTTACTAGCTGTGTGACCCTGGGCAAGTCACTTAACCCCAATTGCCTAAAAGAAAAAAGAAAGATAAATATGAAGAACTCAGAAATGTGACAACTGGTATGAGAAGGAAGCTATAGCACAAGAACTGCAAAAAAGTAAATTAAATCAGTGTGGAGAGGCAGCAGACCTCTGGATCAAACCTACTGACTCCCTGATAGACCTTGGGCAAGTACCATCACTCCTCAGGTCCTCAGGTTTCCTCATCTGAAAAATTAGGGGGTCGACTAAATGAAGTACCTCCCAGCTCTAAACCAATGGACATGGTCTCCAATATCCCCAACCAGTTGGTCTGTTGGTCAGAATTAGGTAAAAAATAACCATTTCTGGGGCAGCTAAGTGGTGCAGTGGATAGAGCACCAGCCTTGGAGTCAGGAGGACCTGAGTTCAAATGCGGCCTCAGACACTTGACACTTACTAGCTGTGTGACCCTGGGCAAGTTACTTAATCCCACTTCCTAGCCAAAAAAATAATTGAAAAAGGAGTATTTTGTTTTGTTTTGTTTCTTCTTGCTGATGGTTCCTCCTATTGGTTCTAATTTTTCCTTACAACATGACTAATATGAAAATATGTTTAATAGGAATGCATATGTATAGCCTATATCAGATTGTGCACTGTCTTGGGGAGAGAGAAGAGAAGGGAGGGGGAGAAAAATTAAAAACTCAAAAGCTTATGGAAATGATTACTGATAAATCAAAATAAATTAATTTTAAAAAATGAAAAAAATAACAATTTCCCTCCTTTGCTTCCTATATTTGAAAGATGGAGGTTAGAGCAAGTTAAGTTGTTTTTTTTTTAACTCCACCAGATACTCTGCTCTGCACAGGGTGAGACTTCCAGCAGATGTCTACTTCACTGTCTACTATATTTCACCTCTGTGCCAAGCTGGTGAGGACAATATCGGCCACATCCTTAGGCTGGCAACTTAGGAGCGTGTTTCCACAACAAAAGCATCTCTCGTTGCCCTCCTTCTCCTTCATCTAAATTATTCCTACTCTCCAGAGGTTTGTAGGCTTTGGGGCAGGAACAAAAGAAATCTTTTTCAAAATAATTTTTTTTTTTAATTTGGGGGCATAACTTCTTGATGTATGCTAACCCTTTTACTTTATATTATATATGCTTCTTTTGAGTAAGACACATTGTTATATTCCCACAGGTTCTATGCCTTCATGTCTTAATGATTTGATTCCTTTTGTTAAATCTTAAGTTTGTTTTCTTTAGTGCCTACTGTATGCACTGTTACGTAGACCCGGGAAGTCAGAGGCATCATTCCAGACCCTTTTCATTTTACTTTTCCTCTGAGAATTATTGCATGGCCCCTCTCCACTCCTGTTCTTTCTATATGAGATCCATTGCCTTGCATAGTCTCTGACTTACACTTTTAGCCGAGTATTTTTCTCCTCCCTCCTTTACTAGGAACCTATCTGCTTAATCATTCCCAGCATCTTCAGTCAAATGACCCTTTCAGACATTGGAGAGCCAGTATTTTCATGCTGTGAAGAAGAGAAGGCTACTAATAACGCCCTTCCATTTTCCTTGCTTTCCTGACACTGAGTTGCCTTCTAGCTATTTGGATTGAGGGGCATAAGAATTTGTCCCTGCCCTGCTCAGCTCCATTCAGAACAATAGTTAGGCTGCAATAAGTCATGTGACTGGATTGGGGACTTTCTATTGTTAACAAGGCAGGACCCACTTGATTGAAAAATAATATTCCTTGAAAAGGGGGAACAATTTCCCTACCTCCAGATCTAATTTAGAGCTTGGAATAGAGAAGGTTTGATGTTGTCTTGGACCCTCAAGGCAACTGAGGAGCAGATACTGTTAAAAAGGAACATGGCTAGGACTATGTCTAAGAGGGCTAGAAGCAGTAGATGAGACTTAAGCCACATGTCTTCTCTCTTCCTCATCTCTCCTGGAGGACAGAATAGCAGCCTTCTTCCTTTTTTTTTTCTTCTATTCCTGGAGCTCAGGTCATCCAGGAGAACCATGGTTTATCATCTCTACAAAGAAGCCCACAGAGCTTCTGGTAACCCAATAGTAGGTAGAAACACTATTCTCTCTACCTGGCTGACAGTAAAACTCATGTATGTTCACTTCTGCTCTCTCCACAAAGAACTGGGAATTCCAGGTGGCCTTGGGCCAAGGCAGGTCCAACTGGACCAAGGAAAGTAAATCCATCCCCATTCTTCTCTCAGAAAATCAGGAGTCATGTTCCTGCAGGGTTACTATTCAGAATTATACTCTCAAATAGAAGAAGCTATTTTGATGGATTTCTTTTAAAACTTTTTTTTCATTTTCATTTTAACAAACACACACAAAAACAACATTTCCATTTACAAAGTAGAACAGAAAAGAGAGTGTATATATGAAACTTTGAATCTCTGTTTTGTACAGCTTGAGCTTTTAAAAATAGGCACAAAAATTCACATATTGCTTTCAATTTCAAGCTATCTTGCTTCATTGAAACTTGTGTTTCCTTCAGAACTTTCTTCTGGTTCCCTTTGTGCCTTTTTAAAAATGCTTCAATGATCCTATTTTCTTATTTTTGGTACAAGGATGTGTGTGTGTGTGTGTGTGTGTGTGTGTGTGTGTGCGCGCGTGCGTGTGCGCGCACCCGTGCGCACGCTATTGCTTTGTTATTTTGCCCACGTAGGTTACACATGTCCACATGGGTCTGTCTAGATGTGGCTCAAAGCGAAGCAAGAACAGACATCTCCAGCATCTCCTCCTCTCTCCCTTCTCTGGAAAGAGAAGCAAAACTCTACTCTCTTCAGAGAGATGGACTACCAGGCTAGAATTATATCTATCTGCTCCCTAAAATATCATTAGTATAGGGGAAATCATTTTTAGGTTCTATCTGTATTCCTGATCACAAGCCCTTAACAGTAAAGGAGAGTCTCAAGGTATATAACCAAGACTTGACCCCCTTCCCAGCAGACGCCAGCACCACAATAAACACCCATAGCAAATAAACCCATTTACCCAAACCAGGGGTGGGGAACCTGAGGCCTTGAGACCACATGTGCCCCTCTAGGTCCTCAAATGCAGCCCTTCGACTGAATATTCAGCCAGGCTCTGCAGGTTCCCCACCCCTGACCCAAGCAGATAGCAAACAGAAACCAGAGAATGTCCACAAGAGAAGGAGCTTTCCCTTTGAGTGAGAGAAGTCAGCTCGACCAAGAGAGAGAGGCCCAGATCTCACCCAAGGGGAAAGTCCCTGAAGTCTCTAATATTGCAAGCCAGACATAATAATGCTTGCCAGCTCCCTCTACATGCTGGTGTCTTCCCAGAGTCTTTCTCCCATTAGGGACCTGAAGAGAATCTGGAATGGCATGACTTCTCTGGGAGCCAGAAGAGACCAGATCTCTCTTCTCTACAGCTCTCACCAGCTCCGCCAGCCTCTCACATAGCATTGAGCAGTCAATCTTCACTGATAGGGACAGAGCACCATACAATTGGCCCTTTGAACCAAGGGTTACATTGGCAATACTATCAGTAGCTCCCCTCTATATTGATGGATTTCTGTACTTATACTAGGCTAGACATTCCCACAAAAAAAGCTAAGCTCTTACTATTCACCAATAAGCAGTGAGACTGGAGAGAGGGAAAGGAGCCAGGAAGAAGGGAGCAGCGGCACCTGAGGATCAGAACAAAGCCCCGAGAGACTTGTGCTCACCTTTGTGGTGGACATACCCATACTGCTGAGTTGGGGGCAGCACGCAGAACGGCTGGAAGAGGGACGATGGTGGGAATGGTAGGAATAATGGTGCCCACGGTAGGTGATGTCTCCCAGGTTTCCTACATGATGAAACAAGAATAACCAAAGTAGACTCAGGCACATCACGTCACGAGAGTCTCTGACAAAGAAGGTGACTGGGGAAGCAGCTGGACTGAACTAGAACGTTCTTCCAGATTCCTGTCTGAGCAGGAAGCTCTGGCTCCTTACCCCTGGGCCCCTGAAACTACTTTCCTCATACCTGACTCTTCATCAGTTCTCATTGCCATCTCTCCCTCTGGCCAGGCCATGGAAGCCCACATCAGTGGCTTAGAGCTGGAGGACTGATTCCCAATTACACAATTGGAGTTGCAAAGAGCCTCAAAATCTATGGAGCCCAGGTCACCTCGTTGCAAGCAGGAGAGATGAAAAGAGAAGACCCTGAACTCACTGTGGAAGTAGAGTGGGGAAACCTCCACCCTCACTAACCTAATGGTGATTTTTTGTTTGTATTTTAAATACTAATACCTTAGGTCCAAAGTTAATAAACAGTATGTATGGGTAGGGCAGCTGGGATGGATACAGTGGATACAGCACCCAGCCTGGAGTCAGGAAAACCTGAGTTCAAATCCAGCCTCAGAAACATACCCGGTTTGCCTCGGTTTCCTCATCTCTAAAATGAGCTGGAGAAGGAAATGGCAAACCACTCCAGTGACTTTGCCAAGAAAATCCCAAATGGGGTCACTGAGAGTCAGCCACGACTGAAATAACTGAACATCACTAAGAACACTTGTGGGTGAGTGTACTAATGCTTCAGTGCTATATTGAGGTATATTATTGACTAAAATGACTTTTGAGACTAACCTGTTACCCTAACCACCTTTTATAACCTTTGTTTCTTTGGATTTCAAGTTCTAAATAATTAACTTTAAACAAGACATGTTGATGGCTTTTGTTTTTACATCATAGTCATTTCTAGATATATTCCATTCTATCTGGCCTCCCTTATAACAAACAAGCTAACAAACAAACAAAAAAAGAACAAAAACAGATAAGCAAAACAACAGACACAGTGGCCGCTGACAGTGTACATACCATTCTGTACCAGTAGTCTCCTTCCCCCGTACTGAAAAGAGGGACATGCTTCTCTGGAACCAAGATTGGTCATTATAATTATTCAATTATTCCTCATTCAACTTTATTTTAAAAGCCACATCTATTCAACCTCTTTATTTTATAGATAAGGAAACTGAGTATCAGAGTGGTAAGGGTACAATGACTTACCTGAGGTCACCTAGGAAATAATTTTCAGTGGGAGCCAGGGGGAGGGGAGACTTGTGATTTCATCAGCGTGGAGAATCCCAGGGTGGAAACAGCCTCCAAATGCAGATTGTCAACTTGTCCATGGCAACTGCCGCAGTCATTTCCAAGCTGTTCCACCTATACTCTGCCCAGCCTCTTCATCTTCCTTATACCTCTCCTGCTGGAAGCTTGGACTCTCTTCTTTGACTATGGGCTCTGATTTGTGAGCTTTTACCTGGAACCAAGCAATGATATTACTTTCTCGACATTTCCAAACCACGGTTCATTAGTACACTGTCCCCTTTCCAACTTTACCTATTCTCTTCCCCTGCTAGAATACAAACTGCTTGCTTGTATTTGTACTCCCAGGACGTGTACACCCATGCCTGGAACATAGAAGTACTTAATATATGCTCCATCATTCATTCAATTACATAGTTGGAGACAGGTCCCCAGATACTATGTTTAAATGAGCTGCCCAGGGTCACACAGCCAGGAGCAAGATTTGAACCCAAGTCTTCCTAATTCCAAAGCTGGCCCTCTATTCCCTGCACCATTTATTAATGACATTCATAGAGGGCTTTGAAATTTGGGAAGCCCTTTATATACGTCATCCCATTATAGCTTCACAGCAACCGCATGGGGAAGGTACCATGGTCATTATTGTCCTCATTGGCTGATGGCTCCAGAGCTGGAAAGGGACTGCAGAGACCATGAACCCTCCTCCTTCATAGGTGAGGAAACTGAGGCTTAGAAAGGTGGACTGACTTACTTGCTCAGTCACACAGCCAGCAGGTCTCAGAGGTAGGATTTGAACCCAGTCCTTCCTGACAACAAGTCTGGCTCTCTCTTCTTTGTACCATGCCTCTAGAGAGCAAATAAACCAAGATGCTTTCCCAGGCCAGCCTTTTCATCTCTAACTTTTGAGCTGGAAAACCTGAAGCATAGTGGTAGCTGCTGCCAGCTCCATCAACGTGGATTTTGTTAACACTGGTCCAAAGGTAACAAAACAGCAGAAGTGGGTGTGTATGCCTGAGCAGCTCCCCCAGGGCTGGATGAAGTCATGCTTTAGCTGAGCCTCTGCCTCACTGGCTGTGCCCCATGCTCACTCATCTAATTGCCCTTCACAGAATTCTGTTTCTACCATCAGTGGAAGTGACATACTCTTGCCATGTCAGAGATCTACTCTGAATGATAAAAAGTTAGAGCAAAGACCAGTTTTCCTTAGGGTTGCCCATTCCTCTCTGCTTTATTGGCCTAGAGGGATTTATCTGGGGCAAATAGCATCTCTGGGAACTTCAGCTCTTCTGGAGCTCCTAATGAAGCAACCTGTTCCCTATCGTGAGATGAACTCCTTCCGTGTCTAGGATTTTTAGCTGCTTCACAATAACCACAGACTGCTGCCACTGCCTTGCTGAAGAAGGGCCCTACCTTACCACTCTGCCCCATGATTCTGCCTGTTTTGACTGGCAAAGGAACACCCACATGTCCTCACATTTGTCTGTGTGATTCAACAGACACCACTCCCCAAGAAACCAGTTGGTGAATTTCTAAGCACTCCATCTCACTTGTCCTAATTCTCCCTGAAATCATAGGTCCTTGACATATTTACCTAGCCTCCCCATAGTGGGCAGAATCATCTTCTTAAAGCACAGGGCTGATGGCATCAGGAAAAGACAGTGTGCCACAGTGGATAGGGCACTGGTCTCAAGAGTCACGAAGATCTAGGTTTAAATTTGGCCTCAGATATTTACTAATTTGTGTGACTCTGGGCAAATTACTTCACCTCCACTCCTCAGTTTCCTCATTCATAACATGGAGATGATGATGATAATAGCATTGACCTTTATAGGATTGCCGTGAGAATCAGATGAGATAATGTCTGGAAAGCACTTTGCAAACCCCCAGGTACACTATCAACCTCAGATATCATGGTACAGTGCAAAGAGCATTGACTCAAGAGTGAGAGGACCTGGGTTTGAATTCTGCCTCTGAAACTTACTACTTTTGTGACCTTGGGCAGCCACTTATCTCCCTGATCGCAATTTCTTCACTTTGAAGGGGGGGCTGGACTAGTTGGTTTCTGAGGTCCCGCCCTACCTCTAGATAATAATAATATCCAGCTTTTGTACAGAGATTTAAGGTTTGCAAAGCACTCTACATATGTTAACTCATTTGATCTTTACAACAACCCTGGGAGGTAGGTGCTATTATTACCCCCTTTTACAGATGAGGAAATTGAGGCTGAGAAGGGTTAAATAATTTGCCCAGAGGCACACAGCTAGTTAGTGTCTAAGGAAGAATTTGAACTTAGATCTTCCTTACTCGAAGTTCCAAGTTCTAACCACTGCACCATCTATAATCTTATAAATACTGTTTTTTCACTGATTGAAATGTATGATAGGAAAAGACGATGGGGCTGGCAACAGATGACAAGTGGGCAGCCTGAGCCTGTCAAAGTCAGAAGAAAGTGAGGCAAGCCTTCAACACACTGTCTGGAGCCTATGTAGGGAACTTTTCAAAAGACCACAGGCAAGAGGATGCTGGAAATGCAGGAATGGGGGGGCCTGGGATCTGCATCACTGGAGAGAATATCCACATTGATGTGATCACAGATCTGCTTGAATATTTTATTATTGTGTCACTCTCTTGTTCAAAAAGCATCAGTGGCTCTCCACTACTTGCAAGATAAAACACAGACTCTTCAGACTGGTGTAACCGAAGCCCCAGGGCATTGATCTGACCAATGAGGAGACAGTCCCATTTTGGTGGACCCAGGAGCTTGGGTTACAATGACCCTGAAGGCCCTTTAGAATCTGACTCCAGCCTATGCCTTTCAGTCTTACTTTGCTCTACTACGGCTCATGTACTCAACATACCAGCCAAATTGGGTTCCCACCTGTTCCCCCTAGTTTGGCCTATTGTCTTCCACCTCAATGAATTTGCACCTGGAACATACTCACGCCACCCTCAGCCTGTTGAAATATTTCTCTTCTCTCAAGGCCCATGTCAAGTGCCACCTCCTCTATGAAGCCTATTCTCCTAATTAACCCTCAAAGTTACTCTAAGTTAATTTCGTGTGGCAAAACTTAACATGGCTCTGAAGAGACTTGAAAATATCAGAAGCAGCATCATTAGTTACAAATTTACTCATTTCTACTCTCTTTTTTTTGGCGTCTCAACACTGAAATTGTCATATTCATGGTGCCTTCACTGGAAACCTTCATGCTTTGCATCTAGGCAGCGTGAGATTGTGAACTTTTCTGAGCCCCATTTTTCTCATTTCTAAAATGAGGGAGCTGGAAGAGAATGATCTCTTAGATGCTTTCCAGGACCCTTAGTTGCTTAGGCAAACCTCCTGGCTGCAGTCAATACAACTACAGTAAATAAATAGATAAAATCTGAGATATTCTTACAAGAGTATATGTGTCTGTGAAGACAGAAAAGAAAGGAAAAAGCCAATGCAGAGCTATGGTTGGGAGATGGCCTCTCAACTGGCGCCCAGCCAATAGTTTAATTCTCTTTGTTGGACCCAACCTGACCACTATACTCAAAGACACTGTGGAATTACTTGCAGTCTTCTTCCTAGTCTGAGCTATTTAAGGCTAATTAGTATGTAATTAGAAATAACCACAATAGTTGACTTTTATAGAATGCTGTTAAGGTTAACAAAATACCTTACATACATCTGTATATCTGTACATATCCATAGTGGATAAAGAACCAACTGTGAAGCCAGGAAAACTTGAATTCAAGTCTTTCCCCTGACACATACATGCTGTGTGACTCTGGGAAAGTCATTGACCTCTCAATACCCTAGGCTAGTCTCTTAAAGGTTGCTGACCTATAGAAAGTAGTGACCTGCATTGGTAGAGGAAGCGTTCTCATCTTAGAGTTACCTGCATACATCATCTCATTGATTAGTGGGCTAATAGTATGGGGCTAGACCTGCCTAAATCTGAAGAGGTTCAATACCAGGTTAGCCACAAATTGCTAGATATTTAGTCCAAGGCACCTCTTGAAATCTATCTACCAACTTTTAAAATTTTTTAAATTAGTTTATTTTGAATTATCAACAATCACTTCCATAAGCTTTTGAGTTTTAAATTTTTCCCCCCCTCCCTCCTCATCTCCCTCCCCAACCATCTATCAACTCTTGCAGACCTTGTTTGTTTGAAGAACTTCCTGGCGTAAGGCACTTGCCAAGAAAGCCCATTTCGCTTTGGATTGTGCTAATGTCGGGGAAGTTTTTGCTTATAACAAGCCTAAATTTGCCTCTGAAATAGCTGCTCTTTGCTCCTGGTTTTGCCTTATGGGGCCAAGAAGAACATGTTCAATCCCTCTCCTATGAGATAGTCCTTCACATACTCAAAGACAGCTGTCACATCATGCTCCCCTGTAGTTCTTCTTTCTTTCAGCTGCTAGGACAATCTGATAAGTTGAAGCCAGATTGTGAAGGGCCTTAAATTCCAGACCAGACTCTATATTTTACCTTATAGCCAGTGGTGAAAAATGGAAGGCTATTGATCAGGGAAATGAGATGTTTAGACGTGTGCACTGGGAAAATTATTTTCTCAGTTGTATAGAGGAAGGATTAAATTAAAGTCAAGAATGATCCACCTTCCTTGGGCAGGACATATGGTTTGGCATTAATAACTCTCTTCCTTCAAGCGATATGCAACATTCATCTTGTTATTAAATGTGCTTTCTAAGTCCTCTCTAATCTCTTATAAGGCATGGAATTTAATGCAACTGGTAGTACCAGAATGCAATAAAGCAAACCCTATCACTCAGTAGGATTTATACACTTATTGTGCATAATATCATTAAAACCTTTGTGATTCTTACCTCCTGGACAGAAAGTAAACCCTTATTGAATATCACTTTTACCAAATAGTGCTTAATTAAACCTTTTTCCTACCTACTGGACCTCTAGTTCAGTGGAGCAGATCTGTAGCCCCTCTGGTTTCAGGGCAATTCAGATGACAGCAGGGTCACAAGATCCTAGGATTACAGATTCAGAGCTGTGAGAGACCACAGAGTTCCTCTAGTCCAACACCCTCATCTTAGAGAGATGAAGGAGGGATTTGCTCAACATCACAGGAATGGCAGAACAGGGATTTGAACTTGGGTCTTCTAACTCTGAATCCAACACTTTTTTCACTACATACTGCTGTTACTAATTCCAGCCAAATCCGATTACTCACTGGTGCTGAAATGGACATTTCTACCTTTTCTGGTCATTCAAATAGACCATCCTCTTTGCCTAGAATGCATTCCCTCCTCAACTCTACCTCTCAGCCCCAGTTCTACCCCTTCCATGTAGTCTCCCCTCAGCACTTCAGCTGCCATTGCTGTCTCCCTCTTCAAATTTTCTTAGAGAATTTACCTTCCTCCTCTACCATACTCTGTCTTCCACTATACTCATGTGTGTTCATGGCATATTTCCCTAATAGAATGTAGGCTCTCTGAGGGCAGGGACCATTTCATTTTCATCTTTATAACCCCAATCCCTAGCACAGTGCCTAGAACATGGTAAGAGCTTAATAAATGTTTGCCAAATGAGCCAATAGAACATAAGCTCCTTGAAGACAGAAACTTTCATTTTCATCTTCTTTCCACAGTCTTGCACATTGTAGGTATTTAATAAATGCTTTGTTAAATTGAATTGAATTTGAGAAGGTATGGAAAGGAGAATAGGCTGTAAGCCTCAGAGTTACAAACCAAAGAGCTGGAATTACAGTCATATGTCAAGTGAGGCACATTCCAGGAAACACTTACAAGAATCCCTGAATGGGTGTTGCCTCAGTTAAACCGAGAACTGTTAAAGAATTTAGCTTGAAAACGCCAAGGTCTCCCACTGCATCCTGGGCCACCTCCAGTCATCCTGATCTATATCTGGCCACCATACCCAGCTGGCTCCAGAGAAGAGAGTGAGGCTGGGGACTTTGCACCGCCCCCCCTTCCTCACTGTAATCCAATTCCCTCACGTGTCATGGCATCACCTTCCTGATGTCATGGTCCTCTTCAAGAATGCAGGACAAACAACAACAATAAGAATAGACTAAGAAGGCCAGAATTAGCGAAGCTCAGTCAGGAAGCACTGTTGCCCGAGTTTGCTCTAAGCTTTCATTCCACTCCCTCTCCTGAAAGTCCTCTGCTTCATGAAGCAAGTCCAGGCAGCTTTCTTGTTTTCCTCAGAAGCCAGGATCTATCCGTCAGCATCTAACCCTGTATGACTATTACAGGTCCTTAATTCTGTATCCCTTTTTCCCATCATCTTACACGGCCAGGAATTAACTTGAAAAATAGAGCAATTCAATCCCACCAAGACAGCTGCTCTCTCATAAAGATAGTTGTGGATGAAACCCATCTCAGGCCTTCCTTGTGAGTGGAGTTTTCTGTTGGGGGTTGAACAGATTGACTAATGAGTCCAAGGACACCAGCCACAGAATGTCCCTGCTCCAGGAAGTGGACAATAGGATGTGGTTCCAGGAATGCTCTGGAGAATTCTTTTATTCTCTTTTTGTTGCCTACCAGGGGCCCAAATATCTAACTAAAGTTGCTCTGTGATTCTGGATGTATTTTCAGACTGTTTTGAAAAGTTGTAGTAAACACATCCTGTGCTTGCATCCCCATGCCCTATGCTTGGTATCTATTTTGCACAAGCTTTATGCTTACTTATCTGTGTACCTGATCTCTCTTTCCAGTAGAATGCAAATTTCTTGAAGGGAGGGACTTGAGTGTTTTTTTCTTTGTATTCCCAGTGCCTAGTATGGGAGGCACTTAATAATGCTTGTTAAATTGAATTGAAATCAGATGCACATATTCCATTACTGTTTTTTTTTAAAAGTCTCTCCTCTGTGCACCTATAAAAAGTAAACAGATTATTTTCTATTTGAGATAGGTTACATTGTTGGACCCTGAAGAAGACTAGGGGAATGAACTGATTTGATTTGATTCAACAAACACTGAATGCTAGGCTCTGGGATTACAAAGACAAAAACAAAATCGTCCCTGCCCTCAACTTCCGTTTTCCTAGGGGAATATCACAATACATAGATGAGCAAATACAAAGTTTATACAAAGTCATTACACAGTATCAGATATGGAGGTTCAACTATGAAAGATATTTTTAACCATAATGGCAAACGCAAAGCAGTCTCTGCCTTCAAGAATCTTACGTTCTACTTAGTGACCTCTCAGGGTCCATCTGTTTCTGATTCTTGACCCCATGACTGTTAAAGTGGTTCATTTTTAAAAGGAAAACAAAGGATCTGTATTGCCTGAAAATACAGCCCTGGCAAAGGCAGCTCTCTACTCAGAAATGAGGTCAGCGCCTTCATGTAAACAAGTCATTATTAGATGACGAGACAGACACCGGAATGAACACCACAGAAGACTGCCAACATCTGAAATCTAATAAATGCAGTGATGAAAAGGAACGTCAGGGTGACTTTATGTGGCACCTCAGCATAGGTTAAAAAACACAGTTCCGACTGTTAGATTAAACGGGCATTTTTCTCTTTCTTCTTCTGTGTCATGATCCACATCTCATCTAGGTTGTACTTCCAAACTTTTGGACCCCAAGTGGGCACTGCTGGCGTTTCTCTGAGAACTCTGAAAAGGATTGCTGATGCCTTCAAAACGAACAGAACAAACCATCAGAATCCTTTCAGGAAGAGAGATTCCAACCCTGAAGCAGAATCACTGAAAACAGGGTAAAAGATTTCTGGAAACATGGAACCCGTGGGGGTTCAGAGGATGGTCAGGAGTCAGTTCAATACAATCAGAGGAGCAGAAGATTGCTGGGTCTGAGGGCTAGCTTTTCTCCAGAGTCCGGAAGACCTGGGTTCAAGTCTGGTCCCTGATATACATTGTCTATGTGTCCCCTGGTGAGTCACTTCACTTCTCAGTATCCTAGGCAACTCCCTAAGACTAATTTACGGAACAGTTGCCATTCTGCATTGGCAGAGGATGCCCTGCACCAGTGCCATGACACCTCTGCTCCAAAGTGAAAATGGGCTTAATAATAGATAGAGTTGCCTCCTTGGGTCACAGTGAGGGAAGAGTGTTTTGTTTTGTTTTAACCTTACTGCACTATCTCAGTAGGAGCTGATGTTATTACTGCCTGTGTGACCTTGGGCACGTCTCCTGCCCTTTGTTAAAAAGAGAGGGCTGGATTAGACTCGTGGTGTCAAATTCAAATACTCCAACAGGAGTGGGTGCCACTGATCTGCACATGCGGACGCCTGCAGGGCCACTGCGCTTTAAAATGAGATGTTGTATTTTCTATTTATTTTGTTAGCTATTTCTCAATTCCATTTGAATCTGGCCCAGACTGCCCTCGGGCTGTTGTGACCACATGGTTAACAGCTCTGGACCTCTGAGGTCTCTCCCAGCTCTGAATCCCAGGAGAACCTTTCCCACCTTTTAACCACACTAGCCTGATAGTCATTAGGGGCACCCAGTCTGGAAAGGTGTTTAAAGCCAAATTGTGAACGGCCTGAAATCACAAGTCTGGGTTCAAACGGGTTGCCAAAGCCATCAAGCATCTTTCAACCGACTGAAAGGCCCTGTGCCTATGAAGCAGCCTATGAAGCCCTGCTTCTCTTGGGCTGCTGGTCCCAGACCACCCACCCTCACCAAGCAGGGCACATACATCCAGGGCAAAGAACAGATAATCTCTGCCCCAGGTGGATCAATACTCCCACAAGCCACTGTTCTATGCTTGTGAACCTGCCTGGGCTGCCCTCCAGGGTACTGCTCCACCCAGCCCACTTCACTCAGAGTCCGCAAATTCTCCGTTTCCTCTTGTCCATAGGGAATCCTTGGGCATTGCCACCTTCCTTGACCTGCCCATTTGAGCTAAGACATCTAGCTATAATCTCCAGGTTAGCTGTTTTACTTTGCCCAGAGATTAAGAACTGCTTTTGGGCATTATCTAAGAACCACCACGTTTTCTCCCTGTTCCCCTGCCTCCCTCAGTTCTATCTACAGAGGCCTTACTACCCATCTGTCCTCTTTTGCCTTTAAAAAGCAGTATGGCTCAGTGGGTAGATCACTGGGCTTGGAGTCAGAAGGGCCTGTTTCCTCAGATTCCTCTTCCTAGCTATGTGACCCTGGACAAGTCACTTCACTGTTCTGGACCTTCATTTTCTCATCTTTCAAGTAAGAGGATTAAATCTGACCTTGAAGGCTCCTTTTAGCTCTATACTGATGTCCCCATGACTGTGATGACAAGGGTTCTTCCCTGTCCTCAGGACTTACAGCGCTCACCATGTGCTGACTCCCAAGCCATGATCCCTTAAAATCGCTGGCAACAAGTGTGGGGACAGAGGAGTCCAACTGGGATGTACCAGAGATGAATATCTCATCCCCAGTAGGGCAGAAATGGGCACTGGAATCCGTCTCTTCTTTCCTGACTTCAGTGCCGGTGCGCTCAGGTCGCACTGGCCCTGCCTTTACCAGACTTACACTGTATTACGTGGCACAGGAGAGAAGTAGAAGATGGTAAGTTTCCCCAAAGCTCCTGGAACAGCTCAGCCGTGGTGATCCACGCACTTCTCCTTTCTCTCCTGGTGTTGTGGGCTGCTCTGACTGCTTTATCTCCAGGAAGGTACTCCGGAGGGCTGACACTGTGTCTTTTACGGTCCAGGCATGGTCAGATTCCACATGATCAGCACAGCATGACAGCCAGAACAGGGAGAACTTCAGGGATGGGGGGTAGGGAATCTGAGAGCTGATATAGAGATTCTGCAGATTCTGCTTCAAAGGCAGAAAGGAGGGTAAAAGTGGTAAGAATAATACCCTTCTGAGACTATCTGCAAACACGAATTTAATCATTTGTACTTAATGTGTGTCCTTTGTATGGGCTCTAGATGTAGAATTCTCTGAAACCATTTATTCATTCAAGAAACATTTAAGAAGCACCTGCTATGTGCCGAGCACTGTGCTAAGCGCTGAGGATACAAAGAAAGGTAAAAGACAAGCCCTGCTGGTAAGGAATTCAGTTTAATGGAGGTAGGGAAGGGAAAGGAAGAAGCATTTCTAGAGCACCTACTATGTAGCAGGGACTGTGCAAAGTACTTTGACAAAAACAATCTCCTTTTATAAGTACCATTTTGTCAAATTATACAATATATTAAATAATCATACAGTAATTATTATCACTCCCATCTTAAAGGTCAGGAAACTGAGGCTCAGAAATATTCAGTGACTCCCCCATAATCCCACAGCAAGTAAGCATTAGAGACGAAGTTTGAACCCAGGTCTTCCTGATGCCATCTTCCATTACCCCACACTGTTGCTCAGCGGTCCCACACCATGCCTCTATTACTTTGTACACACTTCTTTGACTTTGAGGATCTTTCTCTTTCCTTCCCCCTCTGTGTATCCAAATTCTGCAGATTCTCCAAAGCCCAGTTAGATTCCCAATCTCCTCCAGGATGTCACCTCCAATGAGTCCATGCTAATCTCTCCCTTCCCCGAGTGCCTAAGAAAGACAGTACAGTGCAGGTTGGAGTTTTATGCATCAGTTTTATCTTTCCAGCTAAAGTGTAAGCTCTTTAAGAGGCCCAGACCACATAAAATACTTTATACCACTTTACAGTGCCTAGCACAGTGCTTCATTCTTATTTGGTGTTCAATAAATATTTATTGGTCAGTTGACTTATTAAATCACCTTCTCATCAAAGCTTCTGTTGGTTCAGCTAACTTGGTTTAGAGGACCATAGATTTAATGCTGGAAAAGACCTTAGAAGCTTCCTAGTCTGACTCCCTCATTTTATAGATGAAGAATCTAAGTCCCAGAGAACTGATCTGCCTTGCCCAAGGTCACACAGGTAGGAAATGATTGAGGTAGGTTTTGAACCCAGGTCCTTCTGACTCCAAATATAGTGTTCTTTCCACTGTACCACATTTATTTAAGGGCTCAACACAGACCTTACCATCCATTCACTCACCACCATCAAAACCACCTCCACGTATGGAAAAGGGTCTTTCTTCGTGCCTCCCTCTTTCCTTGGCGAGGTAAGGGCCTACGGATGTGGAACGTTGTATAGGTTGTCAGACATGGTCACTCTGTTAGCTCGTTTTGCTTAACTCTGGTTCTTTATTAAAAGGGAAGGTTCACATGAGGGCTGGGGCATAGAATGAGAACTATATCAAGAAATGACTGTGACGTATCCATATTTTCAAAAAATGAGACTTCTATTCATATTTTCTATTTGTATCATTTCTATTCTATTCACACTTCTATTCAAGTACATTATAAAATGCATTTCTGAAGACTATGAAAAGTCTAAGCACAAAGTAGGCACGGATTCCTGCATACATACCCCCCAAAAAAGAGCCGTGAGAAAGAAGACTTCACCTTTTCAGGGAGATTGTTCATTCAATCACCTTGAATTTTCCAAGGAGAGGCTCTCCTAAGAGTTTAAAGGAATGCTCATTCATGGTCCTTTGTTCCTAATCCAGCATAAAGCTGATTTCTCTTGTGTTTTGCCCTCAGGACCAATGTGGCAAATCCTAGTTTGAATTACATCTCTATTTCTTTTCCAAGATGAAGCCAGTCTGCCTCTTCCCTCCCAAATCCGCAGAGAACTGGTTTGCCAAGTTGTGGCTCTGATGTCATTCGGAGAGACCGCCAGGTTACTATGACAGATGAAAATGCATCCTTTGTGTTTCCCTCCAGACTGAATGGGAAATGTTCCTTCAAATTCGGGAAAAGGGTATGTACAAACCTAATTTTCAAGAAAGTCTAAAAGACAGTTTAGTCTTATCCTGCTTGACTTCAGGGGGCAAAACCAGGAACAGTGAGTAGAAGTTGCAAAGAGGCAGATTTAAGCTTGATGTCAGGAAAGACTTCTTAAAAACGAGTGCTGCCCAAAAGTAGAATGGTATGCCAAGGGAGGCAGTAGGTTACCTTTCATTGGAAGTCTTTAAGTAAAGGCTACATGACCCCTTGTTACAGAGAGGAGTATTTTTCTGTGGTTTTTTTTAATTAATTTTTTTTTTGAGAGGAGCATTTTTCAAGTCCTGGTTGGAATCCATTAGATTGTAAGCTCCTTGAGGGCTGCCGAGTGGGAGAGGGTAAGCAAGGGGAATACCATGTGTCTATGAGCACATGGTGACTCTGTTTATTTTGTGATTGTTCTTTCCTGATTTTAGGCAACTCAGTATCTATAACTGTCCATGTTATAACCTTGTGAGCTCTGGAAAGTCACAAAATAATTATGCCAATAATAATTAGCATTTATATGCTGCTTTAAGGTTTGCAAAGCACTATACATGTGCATGTATGTATATATAAATACACATACATATACATACATACATACACACACACACAGAGATATGTTATCTCCTCAGAGGTCTCATTAGAAACCAGAATCAGCAGCAGAATCTACCAGAGGCAGAACAATGACCAATAATGAGCTTTATTCCTGAAGACAGGTGTAGAAAGACAGTCACTGAGGACAGTGGTGGAGTCAGGGATTGGGACCCCACTTAAAGGACAGAAATGTTGGTTTAGACTCTATATAGACATCAATACTCAGAGCCTGTCAGAGAATTACACCTAAGGAGAATCCCACAAAGATTCCATGAAAGAAGAAAAGGATTTCCAGGGCCAGGAGTCAATATGTATCCCTTGGTCACATATATTCTCATTACCTTTGTACTTTCTGTTTGAGCCCACGTCCCCCAGGTACTTCTGTGCGGAGGGAGAAAGCATGTCCCCAGTTTGGGGGATATTGTTTTGTAATTACTGTACATGTTATGCTGTTTCAGTAAATCCCTTTTGTAAAAGCTACTAGGAGTCTACTGGTAAATTGATAATGGGGAATGCCATAAATGGGGGCTCACGAGTGACAGTACTAGAAACATCAGTATTTCAGAGTTATCTCTAGAATGCTGAAGAGCAGTCAGCCACCCTTTGGGAAACCAGCCCCTGTAAATCAAGCTGGAATTAGGGAAGTTTCCTAGAGGAAACACCACATTATCGACCATTAGATCTAGAACCCAAGCTCCAGTCTTGTGTTCTTTCAACCACTATAGAAAACCTCTCTTCTTCACTAATTAACCCTTCCCCTCTTCTTCCAAGAGAATGTTTACAACAATTTAAGCTCATCAAAAGAGTTATATAAATCAGGGCTTAAACACTTCTCACCCATGACTTAAATTCAGCACTATAGCAAAAGGTAATTTTCCCCTTTATGTCTTCAGTCACAACAATATAGCACAACATTAAGTCTTTAATGTGTATACCTAAAATGGCCCCAGTGAGAGGTATTACTCAGTGAAAATCTCTCTATCTTTATGCCTCTGGTCTCTTTGCATTTCACTGCCTTTCTCTTCTACCTGCTCTTTATCTTAATTGATATACAACATAGAGCTGAAATACATCATTTAGCATTTGACGTGTTTATTGAACAGGGTTTTAAGTCTCATGGTCTTAATTTAAATGCTAAATAAGTGGAGTATTTTATATTTATGTTTTTAAGCTAAATTACTTTGTTTTTATTTATGATGCCCTTGACTGATTTTCTGAGAGCTAATGGTGAAAACGAAAGTTAAAACTTTTTTTTTTTAATTTCCCAAACTCTAATTTCCTTGTTGCCAGCTAAACAACACTGGGCAAATTGCCATTATAGTGAGATGCATTTTAAATACAATCTATTGATCCAAGACAATTATCTGCCCTACACGGCCACAAATAAGCTGTACCACCATCATATAGAAACATAATTCCAAAAGTTAATTTATTACTTTGATTATTTGCCCAGCTAAAACAATTAGTTTTACTGGAAAATATAAACATTAAGGTATTGAAAACCTCCATTAAAATGGAAAAGCATGGAAGTCCTCAATTGGATTAACATTTTGCTGTTTTGTTGGTTTGCCTATAGAATTTAAAACACACAGTTTTGCATCATCATTTTCAAAACTATTGCCAAAAACTAGCAATGAAAGTGGGGTTTTTGATTATATGCTTAGGTCTATAGTTTCATCAATGCAGGAAACTCTATGTACCTCCATCCAGAGCTGCAGACCAGCAACTCGTCTGTAAGTTAATCATAAAGGGCTACCTGGAGCTCTGATAAGTTAAGTTATTTACCTAAGGTCACTGAGTCAGTATGTATCAAAGGGGAGACTTGAATCTGAGTCAAGTATGTGCTAGAGATGCAGAAAATGATTTTGTTCCATGCTCCCTTCTAGATCTGAAGTTCTACTATGTCTGAGCTTTTCTTCCTTTCCTTCTTTCCTTTTCTCTTCCTTCCTTCCTCTTTCCCTCTCTCCATCCTTACTCTTTTCTTTTTTTCTTTCATCATTTCTTTCCCATTCTTTCTTCCTTTCTTATCTTTCTTTTTCCCTTTCTCCCCTTTTCCTTCTTGCTTTCTCTCTTGTCTATTTGCCCATCTGCCTGCCTGCCTGTCTCTCTTGTGGATTTTGACCCTCATGTTCTACATCCTGCTTCCCACATCTGGACTTTGACCTCTGTGGCCCACATCCAGGTAAATGATTTTGACTCTTCCGCATGATGCTTTGAGCCTCTACCTATGCAGAAGCTTCTCAAACTTGGCATTGTTCCCTTCTTCAAATAAAGAATGCAACAGAATGCACCCAGCTTCAGTCTACAGCCAGCCCCAACCCTGGCTCCATCCACAGCTCAGGAGCCAGCAAAAGAGACACCAGAAGAAGAGGAAAGATAACCACAAGGGAATAACAACTCTTCCTTTAGGACCATGGAGGCATGCATTGTTATCAGTATGAAATACAGTACATAGCTTGACAAGGCTATGCACAGCTTCCATTTGAAGAAGGCAATCAAATAGTCTAGAAAGAATTGCCTGAAGAAATAGAGATGGAGAGGGGAAGACTTAGGGGTAGCGAAAGAATGTAATAGCTGCCTCTGAGTGTTTGAAGGTCTGCAAAGTATTCGTAAACTTCAAATACTGAAGGGATGTCATGGGAAGGAGACATTAGACTCGTGTTCTTTAATCCCCGAAGGAAGAACAGAAGCAGCAGCAGAAGATGAAGAGGCAGACTCCTATTATGTTAGAGGGAGTCCATTTCATCGATATGGGTATTGGTGCCCTCCCCTTCCCTTCACCCCCATCCTTTACACTCTGTGTTCTTGTCCATGCTTTCCCATGGACCTTCCTTGGAGGATCTACCCAATGTGCAGGAGGCCTTCCTTCCTCTAGTTCTCGGGTGACACCTCGTCTTCCTGTCCCCCGTCACTCTTACTTCAGCAGGGCGTCACCACTCATCTTACCTTTTGCCTTGCCGCAGGATTTCAATGACTCCGCAGGACAGAGTGAGCGCAGCTCTGCCTCACTTACATCCAATTCACCTGCAGGTCAAGGCTTGGCCCCTCCTGAAGTCACTGGTCCTCTTCGAGAACAAAGGATAACAACCACCACCATAATGCTTGCTTTATGACCTGACCATCTTCTTTCAGATCATAAATCACCTCACTAGACGGAATCTTACATTCTTACTGGTATCTTTGTTTTTCTGTTCACTTACATTTCCCACTACTGAGAGCCACCCCTGATAACAAAGAATCAAAAAGAGGAGAAAAGACAGACAGTTCAGCAAAACTAACCAACCTATAAAAAAATTCTGACATTATATATAATCTTCCATATGCACAGAACCTTCTTTGGGGCCAACCCTGGTCATTAAAATTTCACAGCAGCCATTGGATCACAGATGGCCTTAGAGGTCATAAAGTCATTTACAGAAGAAGAAATTGAGGCAAACAGGGGCTAAGTGACTTGCCTAGGGTCACACAGCTAGTAAGGATTGGTACCTGGGTGTTTTGGATTCAAAGTCCATCTTTCTATCCGACAGGCCACGGAGGATGTATTTTACAAGATGCCTACTTCAATTGAGTTCAGTTTTGATTATTTCGTTGCCTTCATTCTTTCAATTCATATTGTTACAGTCATGGTATATCTTGTTTGGCTGCTTCTGCTTATTTTATTTTGCGTCAGTGTGTAGGTCTTCCCATGTTTCTTTATATTCAGCATATTAACTGATTTTTTTTTCAGCATAGTAACATCCCGTTACCCTTACGTATGTACCCTGACTAATTAGCCATTCCCAAACCAAAGTGTGAGAGATGACCTCTCAGAAGTGAAGCCTTCTCAGGGAATCAGTGGTTCTTGTTAATACTTCTTGACTGTCGCTTTCAAAACCCTCCCCCGCTCAGACCCTGCTTTTAAATGCTTAGCAGAAAGAATAACCCTGCCCCCAACCTGAACTGCTTGCCCTTGAAAAGCTTCCCGCCTTTTCTTGCCTCTGGGCACATTTGTGTCTCTGTGTATAGATCCTACCCCGTAAAAGCCCAAGGGATAAGGGGAATGGGGGTTAGGGAGGAGGAACTCGCGTTAGGGTATAAACAAGCCTTGATTTCCATACCGAACTCGTCCTCTCCTGGCCCAAGATGCCGACTAAGAGGGTACCCTTTCTCATGAGAAAGCAATAAACTCCTTTCTACTTTCAAGGTATCTCAGTCTTTGTTTTTAATTTTTAGT